GTGGGCCATACTGGGTAGCCTGGTGCTGATTTTGGTAGCCATGATCAATGGAGATGCATTGGACTGGAGGCGAGCGTTTGCGGAGGATGATTTGAGGCAGGCTCCGATGAAGCGGGTGGACCAGGAGGACCAGAAGGAGGGGAGGATGGAGAGGTTAATACAGAGTCCCAGAGTCCGTAGGAGAAAGCAGGTGGTGCAGGTGAGGTGCAGGGGTTCTGTCTTAGAAGACATGGGAAGATTTGTACTCCGTGGAGTCACAGGTGTGAGCAGACTGCTGCCAAGCATTCAGAGGCAGCCCCGGGGGAGCTCAGAGTCCACAGGGGAGTACGGAGAATTGGAACATGCCATCTCCAGCCTGGAAGCATAGGAAGTGTGCATAATGGTGGTCTGTGGCAATGTGGAAGGAGGCATCTTTCAAGGCATCGAGGCGAACCAGTCTCCTTGCAGGAGTCGTACGATGTTCTGAACTTCTTTGGTGCAGTAAGTAAGTGACTGATGGCTCTGAGGTCCACAATCAATCTGAGTGCCCTGTTTCGCTTCAATACCGTGGAGCAGTGAGAGTCCAAGGAAGGTGGCGAACTGAGCAGCACCAGCATCGGGGACGGAGCGGTGCTCTTTATGGCACTGAGCCAGGAGGCAGGTGTCATCACCTCCCATGTGGGAAAGGCATAGACACGTCGGTCGAAATGGGGGAGGGGGCGCTGGTGAGGGCAGGCAGTGATGGGGCCTGCCTGCCTGGGTGCTCTGTGCTTGCCTGGAGCAGATTGCATTGCACCTTCCGGCCTGAGGGGCTGCCTGGGCCCTGGGACCATGCTCGGCACAGGCCCTGAGCTGCTATGGGGACAGAGGCCCCCTGAAACACCTGTGAGGTCCAGCGGATGACTGCTAGAAATCCATCCTCCCCACCATCGTCCCGGCCTTCTGCAGGGAGCCCATGCACTGGTCCATGCGCATGCCACCCCGCCTCAGAGCGGGAGTGGGTTTCCTGGGCATGCCTCCTGAAGGCCACAGTGCCGATCACCACCTTGGCTCACGGTCAACCTGCTGCCTTGCCTCTCACGCCCAGAGCTTGTCCCAGAGCTGGCAGAGGAGACTTGGAGGCCGAGCACTGGGGCCACACCCACCCACCTCACCAACTGGCCAGGCACTGGCCCTCCTGGTCTACTGGTGCCAAGTATTTCCACAGCAATCAGCCCCGTGCAGACTTCGCAGTGACTAAGTTGGGCTGCGGGTGCTGGAAGAGGAGTGGGACATCTCTTTCCAGTACCTGGTATACGCGCTCTAGCCACTGGATCTCTGCTGAGGCCGGCAGACCTGGACATCCTCGAGATCAAGGGCCACCGTCTTCCCCACGGGACCCCCTGAAGCCTCTGTGATCACCAGGAGGCTGGTGACGAGTCGGAGGCACGGTCTCCTTGCAGAAGAGCTCACGGTGCCTCTCTGGTCCCAGCAGTGGTGTCTGTCGGGCAAGGTATGAGTGCAATGCCTGGACGCTGAAGCCTCCTCAATACTGAAGCTTCCAAAGGTGGTTGTGCCGGAGGCCGGGGAGGGGCGCCCCGTACTTCCCCCTCCGACAGCAATGCTGCCAGGCCTGGATCTTAATCAGTACCACACGCTCAGGCTGCGCCAGGTCAGATCCCAACATTCCGTTAGGATACACCAGGCCCTCAGTGCCGACGGTTGACTGGGCCTCCTGCTTGGGACTGAACAGTCTCTTGGGTCCACACATTCTCTCAGCACCAATGACAGATGGAGGGTCACTTCCAGGACCAAACTGTCTCTCCCGGCTGAGTACTTTCTCTGGATCGGCCAGGCCCTCAGCGCCGCTGGCCCAAAGAGGCTCTCACGGTGTCCACACTTCCACGTGGTGACGGCGGCCATCTGATCTGCGTGCTTGGCCACTTTCCTGGGCATGGGGTCCTCCCTGACGATAACCTGGGTGGAGAAGCCAATGGTGCTGCAGACCAGTCGATCAGCGCTACTTCCTGGCCTGTTACCTGAAAAGCCTGGGGATGCGGCCACGATTCGATGATGTGTCCCTCACCCAAACAAAAGAAGCAGAGGGCGTGTCCATCCATGGGGTGGGGGAGTTTACTCCCACAACACTTTCTTAAAGGTGCCTTTGACACCATCACAGAAGAAGAACGGAGAAAGAACTGGTAGAGAGACACAAAAGTCCAGAGACAGAGCAGGACCCAATATAGCCATACATATATATATGGACAAAGACCAGCTATATCTACATATACATGAATTTTGCAAGTAAAGAGCGAAAATGAAGTTCATGGAGAGATGGGTAAAAAGGAGGCTGAGCAGAGAGCTAAGCAAGAGAAAGTGATAGAAAGAAAAAGCTAATAAATGCTGGAAAACACTCAAAGACAGAAGCGCTTCCCGATCTAAGCACGGGGGTGGTCAAAACGGAACTGGGGAAATGGGTAGCAGCCCCTCTGCACAGATACAGGAAGGGGAGGGGCTCCTGCCCCAACGAGCACCTAGCTGGAGAACCTTCCCAACAACAGCCACAGCTGTGATACAGAGTCCACAAAGCACAACAAACATGATGTGACTAAACGCCGATTTCCACAGCAATGCTTAATTCAAATTCTCAGCACTGATCTAGCAAGGTCAATAGGCCTTGTTTTCCTGCAAGTGAGATTTTTTTAATGGTTTCTTGGAAGCACTTCAGCAAATAATCTCTTTAAAATCCGTCCAACCACTTTACTGAAGTTGTAGAAGTTGTCATGACGGAGAACTTAACTAAATAGCTTATGCGCTGCAAGCTTTTCAGGGGCAATTTCAGCCCAATTTGCCAAGCCCTGCCACAGTGCCCTCTTTGTTCATTTCTGCAGGTTTCCTTGCAAGAACTCAGGCCCAGCCGTGCTTGGAAACTCCACCTAGAAATGCTCCCCACTGCCCATCCATTTTAATATGAGGTGATCCTAAAACACGAGTCACATGAAAACAAAATTGAAAACCTTCAGCATTCACGCTTGCAGCAAGGAAAGTTCATAATGCATCTGAAAGCTGAGGAGGCAAATATATATTTTTTGCAAAACAAGGAATATCCTAAGCTAAGTTCATGATATCTGAAATACCAGACAAAGGTGGAGAGAGATTTGGCATCCCCCTCGCCCCCAATTATGTAACCCCACCTGCTTGATTTATAAAGCTAAAACCTAGTGATCTGGATGCCAAGATTACTCAGCATTATTTAGAAACCTGGCACTGTTAGCAAACTGCCCTGACTTCTCTAAGAATTAAAAGGTAAGGACACAGAACAAATGCGAGCTGAAAGGGGTAACGAACAGAATGATGTAGATGGCAAAAGTTCACGGTACACTTTCCTTAAGACTACACCTTTTGTGAAGAGAAGTAAGTTCAGACAATTATGGAGGGCCAGGGCATGCAAGATTAAAAGCATCCAAAAATCCTTAGGGTGTCCCCACGCCCTGCGGGGCTTCTAACACAATTCCCTGCGAGAAAAGGCTGAGCCATCCGAGAAAGCGGCCTGCAGGCCAACCCCCTTGGCACGGTTCTGCACTTTCACACCCAGGGCCACTGCGATGTCGTTCAAAAACATTCTGCTGTTGTAAAAAGGGCCGGAAAGCAGTCAAGAGCTGTTTTATCGCTGCTGCTTCGAACAGGTGCATTTACTGTTCTGCACCCTCGTCAGATTTATGCTGGCTTCAAAGCTTTGAGCACAAAAACGTGGGAGAGGTGAGTGGGGCCAGTGGTGAAGGGCAGGAGCCACCTGCTTTGCAACGCGTGAGAGCATCTGCGCCGCACGTCTAGAAGGCATGTCTGCGTGAAGGCTGGAAGGGGGGCAGATGCACAACCCAGTTTAGGCATTGCCCCCATCCGGGCAGTCTGCTGCAGAGAGAGATGCGGGTTTCCTTCTGAGCTGTGTGGCATGTCATGGGCAAGCTTTCTGAGCACACGCTACAGTCCCAAACCGGGTTGGGAAGGCTTTCCCACGCAACCCATCCCTGCACAGGTTACAGAGGGGAGTTCATAGCACCATCAACCAGTGTTCACACACACACACACACACACACAGCGAAAGCCGCAAGCTGTTTGCTGCAGCCCATGGTTTGTCACCTGGATTACAAACTGCAGCAGAACTGCAGCTAAGGGGACGCAAACATGGAAGCCCCCGACTCTTCAGAACCCCTAACTAGAGTTTTTATTGGTAAAACAGAACAAAGGTGCCTCTAATGGAAGGGCTTGCAAAACGCAGGTCTGGGCAGCGTTCTCCACTGCGGAGGTTTTGAACAGCACGCAATGCACACAGCGTGGACTGGCTGAAAGGAGAGAAGCTGGGTGGGTACCTGTGACAGCATTAATGGAGGGGTACAATGATGCCTCAGACAGGGACACAATGAAAGCCTGCAGGGGATGCTTCTTGCAAGGAAAGGAAGCTTTCAGAAGGGAGCAGAGAGGCTGTGCATGCTGGTTTCTGGCAGAAAAGCTCTAGGCAGGCAAGGAGTTCAGCAGCACCGTAACAGCCCTTCCCACACCGGAAGTGGGGCTACAGCCGCACTGTCACAAGTTCACATCTGAAGTGCTGCTCTGCCCCGGCTAGGCTTAGCTCAAAAAGCACTCTTTTTTGATTCTGATTCCTCGGCACCATCGACATAGTTTCACCAGAGGGCACTGGCCCCTCCAAAATGAGCTGGCCGTGAAAGTGCTTGCCTTCACACAGTCACACTGCTTTATGAGACGCAACTTGACGGACGGACGGACGGACAGACAGAGACAAACAATCCTGTATGCAAGCATCTGCTGCTGGCATAAACAAAGACAGAGTAAAGCTACAAAGCCGCAAAGCAAGTGTGGGGACAACATCACAAGCCCACCCCCACCCAACTCCCCGAACTCTCCATGTGATCCGTCCGTAGCCCGGGGGCCTGGAAAGCAGAAACAAGTTGGATGGCCGCAGGACAGCTTTCATTCTGTCAACATTCATTAACCTTTAAAAACTCAAGGTCAGAGAATATACATATGTTTCAGCAGAAGTACGTCAATGACTTTTTATTATTCTAATCCCATTTGGTATTTTCCATAAAGCCCCTTTCAAGGCTGGGTTGCTCTCTTCTGTTACTGCAGACCACCCGTCAGTCAATCCATGCATGCGCACGCGCACACGTACGTTAAAAATACTGAAAGCAAAAAGTGTTCTTCCCCCTCCTTCCTCGCCGCCTGGGTCACAGAGTGATGAGGTCTACCAGGTTGCCTTTGGGAGGTGTCATGTTGTCAGGAAAGAAGTTCACCAGGGTATCAAAGAGCTGTGTTCGCTGGGCGTAGATGTGATCAACATCCGAGAACCCTGGGGCGGAGGAAGAGGGATGAGCAACCAAGCTGTGGGGGCCAGCAGAGGACCTTTGGGCAGGCCTGAACGGGGCAAGACCCCAGAGGCGAAAAGGGGAGGCGTCCTGCCCTCAAATGGCTCTGCGGACGCAGCTCAGAGAGAATGGAGCTGGGCAGAAGCCAAAGCCGGCAGAACCCGCTCCCGCCGCGTCCACAGTGCCAGACGCTGCGCCTCCGCTGGCCACCCTGCCAGTGTCATGCACAGGTGCGGTGGCTTGCGGGGAGCCAGCCCATTCGCTCCTCCCACACAGCAGTGAACGGCATGCGGCCCCCCGGGTGTCTTGCCCCGTGACTTGCATCACCTCTAGCCTGCACTGCCCAGGGGAGGATGCAGGGAACCGAGCCCCACGAGCTGCCACCCCTGGCTCCACCAGCCAGCGGCCCAGAGGGCCTTCCTCTTCCCCGCAACAGAGATCCTTCCCACTGGAGACGCGAGGGCAGGCCTGGCCAGGGAGCCTGCCGTGCCGATGCTCTGGTGCCACGCTGGTCTCCAAGCCATTCTCTTGGCAGGAGGGTCCTCAGCGTGGCTGCTCCTGGCCTGGCGGACGGAGTGCGGGGCTAGAAGGCGTGGCCCATGGTGCTTCGAATGCAGGGACAGAGCTGCACTATCCTGGCCGCAGCAGCCAGGGACAAAGGTTCCCGGGGCCGAGCCCCAAGCCCTGCCCAGCCAGCCACTCGCCCCCACTCCCTGATCGTGGGGATGTGGAGAGTGGCCGCACCATACAGGCAACCTTCAGCTCCTCAGGAGAAAAGCCGTGTGCCGGGCTTTAGCACCTGTGCGTGTGTGTCGACACACAGCTTGGAAACCTCTTGCAATTGCTATTAGCAAAATGAACGCTTTGTGCCACAAACCATGAGGTCCTTCTCTCGCTACTGAAAATGCATTTTGAAAGCATGTGAGGGGATTTACTAAATGAGACATACAGGTGCAAAACATGCAATCATCCACTTACAGACACTGGGCACACGGCGCGCGAGAGACACTGCGGAAAAGAACCCTGCCTCTGGCCTCCAAGAGACCCCTGGTTTCTCATGGCAACGCTGTGGGAGCACCTTTCCTGCAGGTTCGTTCCACAGAACTGCTCCAGCAGACAAAGCCCGGCAAGCACAAGCCTCTGCTGCAGATCAGAGGCGACAGTTTTGTGCCCAGGATCTGCAGCGCAGGCCTCTCACGTGCCACAGCAGAGCAAGGGGAAGGATCCGTGGCAGTGCAGAGCTGGAGCATTTTCAGCGAGGCCTTCAGAGACATGTAAGGTTAGGACAAAACCCCAGAGACAGCTGAAGGACTGCTCTGGTATCTCGTCCTTGCATTCTGTTTCAAGTATTTAAAGTGGCCAGGCCTACAGCACCCATGCGTCCAAAGCCGGGCTCCCATGGGTCTCTGCCCCCTGACTGGGTCCTGTCCCTTGACGGAGGGCAAAGCTTCAAAGCAGGGCCGTGCAAACCACGCTTTGCTTCGCAGGCTTTTGCTGTGAGTCCCAGGAATCACGCAAGTCATTCTTAAAGGGATGCAGGCTTTTGCTGCTGGGGGTGGAGGGACTGCAAAGGGCGGCTCTTTCTATCTTGAGCAGCTGGACTTTGGTTCTGTGCCTCTTAAAAGGCTGCTGTTTTCCCTGGTATGCTGCCCAAGAAGACGTGCCTGGGACTGGGAGGGACAGCCTGAACTAACCCACTTTAAACACGATCTGCATCCCAGCAAGCAGCGTTCAGACTCGCCGCCCACTCCCCCACCCCGGCCTCCTCCCCGCCCACGGGCTGCTGGCTTCCAGGATGACGCAGCACGAGTTGATCTGTTTTGACCGAAGCCTCGGCACTCATGTGGATAACACCCCCACACTGTGTCTGGCATCCCGAGGGCTTGAAACTGATCCCGTGACGTTTCTGGGGATTAAGACAGAGGCTTCTTGAGAGAGCTGCAAAGCAGTTCTGCCTGCCGATCCGAAGCATACTCACCCAGAGTGCCCAGATCTGAGCCTGACCTGAAGAGGGCTGAAGCAAGGAGCTGGAACTGCGGGGAAAACAAGAGATGGTTCATTTCAGCATCCCCAGCGGGGAAATAAAGTCCTGCTGTTGGAGCAAGGGGCTGTCTTCCAACACCGACAACAGCCACACGGAGGACCCACGTTCTACTGGCACTGAATTCCAACACAGCAGCCCCTCTCTTTTTACAGTGCCTCCTTCCAACCACACACATTTATTAAGCAGTCATCTTGGCATTTCACAAAAGTCAGCAGGCCCTTAGAAGTGGTCCTCATTACAGGCAAGTCGGTCTACCAGCGGCGTGGAGACACAGTATGTGACAGCAGGGAAGCTTTTTCACCAATTACAGCAGGAAAAAAAAAAGATTTATACATTTCCACATGTGATTTGCCCACCCCAACAGGAAGCTCGGAAGAGGCTTGTTCTCTGACCAAGTTTTATGTGGCTGCCAGACTTTCCTGGGCTTCAGAGAAAGCAGCTGAAAGCAGCCATGTGTTCAGAGCCAGACAGCACGTCATCAGGATGTCCACCCGCCTCAAGGCCAACATCGAAGGAGGTTTTCACAGCAGCTCTTAGGCACAGATGGCCTTGCTGGCCATCCGTGGCTCAAGGCTGCACCCCAAGACTAGCGAGCCAGACGTCTCCAGCGCACAGCACCAAGACTGCATGCAAGCAGAGCAACAGGTTGGAAACCGGTCCAAAGGCCTATCCTTGGCTTAAAAGCCCACTCTCCTATATAGCGCACAACACAGCTTGACAGAATTCACCACCCCAAGTTGTCATGATGGGCACAGATGGCTTGGCTTTTAACAAGCAATCAGACAAATCTACAGCAACAGGTCCACCGGTGGCTTGTGGCCACAACAACTCTGTGGAACTTTGCTGCTTGCACACAGAATACCAGCAATTAGCAGCTGCTGGGAAGCTCCCCAAGCCTTCGATTAATATAACAGGAACGTTCAGTTCCTGTCGTGCCTCCTGAACTGAATGGACACAGAGGCTCCTAGAACTCTTCAGGGGAGATGGTCACAATCTCTCTGCAGCAGCTTTGCCCTGTCTCTTCCCTTTTTAAAATCTGAAACTCTCAAGGGCAGCAACAGAGAACAACCTACCTGCAGTGACTGCAATGGCCAGCCAAGTTTACTCCAGGATGAGAAAATAAACAGAAAATAAACTGCACAGTAACAGAAAGCTAATTCCTCACAGCCACGCCATCTCCATCTTTTCTTCCCTCCCTCCCTCTTTCAGGGATGCCACTCATGTCCTTCATTTATGCCATGTTAGGGTCACTGAGTATCTGGCCAAAAGCTATTCTATCCAGAACACACAGCTTGTTTAATTTGGCACTCTAACTTCACAAACAGCTGGAGCCATTTCCATGTACTGGCGTCAGTGCCTTAAAAAAGAGTTATCTATTCAACATTTTCGACAGCCATCGTTCTCAATTGGCAAGGCAGTCCTCCGCATAAGGAATTCAGGCAGTTGCGAAGGAAGTGTGCCACTTCCGGATGCAGTGAGATGATGAGGGGCCCGGATGCAATGCCCATACTTTTTTTAAAAAAATGCCTGTGCACCGAAAATAAGCATGTTAGAAAAACACACATGGACGCTGTCTCTCTGGCATCCTCTTATCTAGAGTAAGGGGAATTATTTTTCTGCAGAGCACTGATACAGGAAAAAATCCCTCCAGGAAAAGTTCAGTGTTGGAACTGACTGTGGGAACTCCAACTGTCCAAGAAGCAGCGCCCCTCTGGTACTCTCTCTGTGTGCCCAAGCCCAAGCCATGGGGCAACCCCTTCTCTGTTGAGTTCCGTTTCTTTAAGGGCAGGGCTAGGACATGCCGGGCTGCAGCACAAACATGGATGCCCAGCATTTGCCTTCTTTCTCCTATCTGCAAAATGGGGAGCGGGGGAGAAAGAGCCACCTCACAGTGCTGTGGGGATGCGCACCGTGAAGGGCGAGGAGCACCGCAGAGATTATAAATACTTTGCTCACAACGAGCAAATAACAGGCGAGGCAGTTTGGACTGCTGAGAGGTTCAGTGGTTCCAGGGCAGCAACAGGACCAGAATCCAAATGTCGCCTCCTGCCAATCAGCAATAAAGCCATGGAAAAAAACCTTTCAAAATATTGAGCGATGCCATCCGTGAACTTGCAGGTGGATTGAAATAAATTCTCCCCAAGGGGCCTAACTGGCTATTTCCAAAGCAAGAGTGTCAGGACAGGAGAGATGAGCAAGTTACTTGAAAAGGTCCCACAAAACGGGAAGCCTCGAGGTGCCGGCGCACAGCTGCCTTCTCTCTAAGTGAAGTGTTTCCACTGCCACTCGCTAGCAGGAAGACCAGCGTCCAGCAGGTCAGTCCTGGGCTGCATCAGTGTGTGCAGATGTGCAAATCCATGGCGGCAGCAGGTTTGCGCCGGACATGTCACAATGCGAGCCATTCCAGGTTCGTGAAAGGGAACGCAAGCTGTGCCTCACCTCTTTGGTCTCCTCGGGGTCTGAGTGATCCACAGTGACGGACAAGTCATTCTGCAGGTATTTCAGAGCAGTCAGTGGGTCCAGCTGGGCCTTTTCTTCAAACCTGCAGACATGTTGAGGATTCAGTGCACAGACAGCGACCAAATCACAAGGACTGAGCACGACAAAGGCCCCTCTGGTCCAGCGTTCTGTTCACAGACTGGACACCCAACTGCCTGTGGGAGACCCTGGAGGAGAACATGAGCACAGTCGCCCCCCTGCACGCACACTGCCCCACCGCTGATGTACAAGTATGCACGATGCCTCTGATCTGGAGATCGCATGGAGCCATCTGGACTAGTGGTCATTGCTGGCCTCCTCCTCCTCCAGCAATTCGTCTTATTCCCTACTAGTTGTGGTCACCAGACTTCGCTGAAGTGAATGAAAAAGTCCTTTTATCTGCCCTGATTCTCCCACTGATCACCTTCGAGGGTGGACCCCAGGTTTTAGCATTACATGCAGAGGGCATTTCTCCCCACCACGCATAATGCTGTACACCCCTGCCTTGTATGGAAAGCACACACTTCTTCTCTAAGCTAAACAGTCCCAGATGTTAAAACCTTTCCTCACATCTTGACCATGGCCCTCCGGAACCATGTTTATTTTATTGTTTTTACCATTGTAACTGTTATACAATATAAATATGGCCATCTATTTTAATACTGCTTTTCTGCAAACTGTTCGGGCTGCTGAGCGGTCTAGAAAAGCAATACTTAAATAAATAATAAATACATATTTACAGTGCCTTTTCTGCACTTTTTCCAACTCTACAATATCCCCTTTTAGCATCCCAAAGCCGGAGGCTCGGGGAGAGCTGCTGTTTAGCTCCAAGAGCTGCCTCCCTGGGTCTGGAGGCTTCTATGCAGCTTGATCCCCTCACAGCAATCATACTCCACAATACCGCTGGCCTCTACCCAGCAGTAAAATAGTTGCTTTTGTGGAAAACATGTGCTCAGGTAGGACGAGGCCTTTCGTTTCCAGGTGGAGGGGTGGTGGCAGGTAAGCGGTGCTTCCTGAGAGATCCCTCATGGGACAGATCAGTAATTGTGCACTGCCTTTCCAGCACACAGGTGGCACAGCAACGCAACAGCATGCCTGTGGATTTGTAAAAAGTGGGGTAAAATGAGCCAACACCTATAGCACACCTCTAGAGTTGGACTGTATGTCACAGACCGCGTGCTCATGTATCCTAGCTGTAGGAAAAGGGTCGGCCACAGAGTAATGAACAACAACAGTACTGCTGTAACCTAGAGAGAAACATTTGAGAGGGAAAGACAGGGCCACTGCTAGGGGGTAGAAAGAGAAGAGCTGTGAAACAGCCACCTCTTACGAGCTCCTCAAATAAAGTAAAATATAAAACAAGGCTGTGTAAGGTTTCAAGAAAATGGCCACACACCTTCCTTCCCATGACCCTAATTAGGAACCCCGAGACTCCATCATGCCATGGATCTGAAATTTACCTGTGTTTCCTTATTAGGTATTTGCAGTGGCGTAGCAGGTATTCCTTGGAAGGCCGGCAGAGCTTCAAGGACCAGAAGTCATCCAACCTCATCTTGGGAGAACAGGATTTGCCTGGATTCCCTCCAAACAAATAGTGCACCTTGAGGGACAAGAATGGAAATGCCTGATTCTATGAATCAGCACAGTCCACAAAGAACAAAGCGCAGACCAGCATAAAACCAAAGGAGGAGGGGAGAGAGCTGCACTCATGTTCTGCTGCATCCAAAATGTTTCAAGGAGCAGAACTTTTTGCTCCTAGGGCAGGCAAGGAAAGCTACAGCTGTCTCTTTCTTAACTTATTTTGGTTTGAAAATAAGCCGCTTTTTATCCCTTTTGTTAATGTTGAGCACGCAAATCCAGTCTTTGCAAAGTTACGTTTTCTGTGCATGCTCTTTCCGTTCCCCAAAAGTGCAGGGAAGGGAAGTAGCGACAGCTCTGCATTCCCTTATGTCGCACAGAGCAGCACCTCGGATGACGCCGTGTCTGGAAAGGATGCAGGGAAGGATGTACTCAGTCCAGTTAATTCTGTCCGAGGAAACACATGTTACAATGCCTTGCAGAAGTAATCACACACACAAAGTATCCTCTGACTTTTCCACATGCACTACAACGTGGAACTGAAATAGATTTAACTGGCATTTCCCCACCTGATACACTCAATACCGTGAAGGTATTTTTACTGGGGCAAAAGAGTTGAGTAAATAAGCAAAAGCAAGCGGACACTTGTGGGCTGCCTCAGTATTTATCCTCTTTGCTGTGACATGCCTAAATAAGCTGTGGCACAAACTCCCACCTCCAGGCTACTGCAAGCAGCTGAATGGAGTCCAGCTGAATGCAGTTCCACGGCCACATCAACACAGGTTAAATACGTGCACACAGCATGTCCAAAGGAACAGGATCATGAAGGCCAAGGAGCTACTGAACTGAAACAACTCCAGGACAAAGCTGTGCAATAGTAGCCAAGCTGTGAGCATTTCCCAAAGCATCATCAAATCTATTACTACGGAAAGGAGAGGATGTGGCTCAGCCACGGCTCTGCCTAGAGAAGCCCACCCACCAAAACTCAGGGGCTGGGCAAGGCAGGCATTCACCAGAGAAGCAGCCGAAATTTAACTCTGATGGGGCTGGAGGGGTCTGCAGCGGGGATGTGAGAAACTGTCCACGGGATAACGATCACCTGGATGCTCCACAAAGTGGGCCTCTGGGGAAAGTGGTGAGAAAAAAGGCCCCACTGAAGCAAGCCCGTATCAAAGCCCACTTTCAGCAGGCATGTGGGAGACACAGCAAACACGTGGGGAAAGTTTCTCTGGTCTGATGCAGAGACTGACTTTCTGGCCTTGCTGCAAAGCATCAGGTGCGGCGCAAAGCCAACAGTGTTCATTGCCCTGTGCGCTCCATCCCCACAGTGGCCCCATCATGTTGAGGAGATGCTCCTCCCCATCTGGGACCAGGAAACCGGTCAGGACTGAGGGCAGGAGCGATGGGGGAGACGCAAGGCAGCTCTGGAGGAGAACTTGCTTCCCTCTGGAGTCCACCTCCCAGCAGGACCGCAACCCTGAGCACACAAGCTGAGGCGACACGAGAGAGGCTTCAGACGGAAGCCCTGAAAGTCCTAGGATGGTCTCACCAAACCCAGACCTCAAACTGATTGAGAATCTGTGGGAAGGTTGGTGGTTCCCATCCCACCTGAAAGAGCTGGGGAAGTCTGGCCAGGAAGAAGCAGCAAATGTGGGAAGATCTGGATGTCCAAAGCTGACAGAGACTAACCCAAGAAGAATCACAGCGACAACTGCTGCGAAGGAGTTTTTTTCCCCAAGTATTGACCTGGGGGGCAGGTGAATATTTCTGCAACCTACAAGTGCAGTTTGTTTGATTCTTACTTAACTTTAATGGCACAGTGGAGAATGCTGTGGTGTTCCCAGTGTTGAGGACCTTGTGTGTGTCGAGTGGTAACAATGCCAATTAAATTCATTTCAGTTCCAGATTTTAGCACAATAAAATGTGGACAAATCGGGAGATGGGGGAGCTCTTCTGCCAGGCACAGCACGTTCTATTAAAAATGTCTGCATTCTCCCCCACCCCGCAAAAGGCTGAAGAAGCCAGAAAAGGACCATAGTTTAAACATCAGACCACCAGAGTCCAAATAGGCAACCTTCAGCAGAAAGCCAGTGGCATACCAGTGCTGTGAATGGAGAGGACTGGCAAGCCAACCTACCAATTGAAAGGATCGATGCAACTGAACTGGGCAAGAAGCCAGTTGCTGGCTTCTGGATTTACCTGGATTTACCTACCTGGATTAACCTGTCCTCCAGAAGTGAATGCCTATGTGCACACTTAACACAAGATGGGCTTCCAGAGCAGGGAATGTTTGCCATCCAGATGCAAGTCATGAATCAACAGGCAATCAAGGCCTGGCTGGAGGCAGAGGGCACCCCGGTCTGCGACGGAACCCCTCCTCTGCCAAATGAAAGGGCCATGTGCATGATGGCCTGATGCCCCATCCCCTGAGGGCTCCCCCAGCACAGGGCCAGGGCAGCGAATGACGCAGCTGGCCCAGCTTGCTCCACCCGTCTCATTACGGAACCACAATCTGGAGAACCGCCATCTCCCCACACCTAAATGGGACCTCAGGCGGTTCGCAGGGTCACGCAGTGCTCCAGCCGGCTCACCTTGTGCAGCTCGTCATACACAAGCTGGTGTGCAAAGCGTGGGCAGGGCTCCTCCTCCTGAAGCGTCTTGCTCGGGTTCTCTTTGGCCGCTTGATCGTTCTTGTAGACGCAAGACCTGGAATTCAGGAAGAGCGGAAGTGTGCCCATGCGCGCTTGGACTCTGGAGTTCACTAGCATGGTCTGGCCAGCTCATTCTCTCTCACCAGAGAAGCCCTGCCTGGTAGCTGCTTAAATAATTCCCACCGTCCATCGTCAGGCTGCCTACCCACAACCCAAGCACATTCAGGGCCTACCTGAACCTGCAGTAGGTAATAACAAACCTAATACAGTTCATGGAGTTTATAATCAAAGTCCTCTTGGAAAAATGGAAGAAGCTATTGTGAACAGCAATCAATTCTCACAAGTACCACCAAGCTGAAGAAAGTTGTAAGGATGTTTTTGAAGCAGGAAGGAGGAAAATGCCCAAGAAAAATAGGTTTGGAGAAATTTATGGAGGAGGCCATCTCACCAGAGTTATCAGCCCCCTATCCAAACTGAACCTCCAGTAAACCTGGCCTATTAAGGCAGAATACCAGATACCCTCTGGAACATCCCATTCTGGGTATAAATGGGGAGGGTTACATTCTGCTTATGATCTACCCCCAGATAATAATGGCAAGCTCCTCTTAGTAACATTCCAACTCCCCCAGCAGTGTGACCAATGGTCAGGGATAATGGGAGCTGTAGCTCAGATCTACCTGGATGAAAAGGTCTGATCCAAATGTTCTTTCTTTTATTCAACAGGTGGGATTGAAGGAACAAGGCAATAGGTAGCAATGCTGAGATGTATCCGATAGCAGTCTTTCGTTCATCCCACTCGAAGCAGGACCAAGCGTGGGTATCACGCTCAGCTTACAATGCCCCCTGCATTTGGACAGGCACCCTCCTCTCTGTAAAGCCGCTTCCCTGTTTTCGAGAAAGGCCTTCCTGAACACCTGCATCTTGTCCACTCCTGTGTAACCCAGCACTCCATCTCCCAACTATTCATGCCAATCCCTACCATTTTCCACCTACTGCAGGCTTGCTTGTCTACTTTAACACACATGCTCAGGCCACACTTCAGTTTAATGAAATCCCCAGGGTGGCTCGCAGCAGCTATAAAATAGTGCAATGTTAGAACGGTGAAACACACAGCAGAACGGTAGCAATAAAAAGAAATACAGGTATGACAGCAAAAAGCACATCAAATTAAAACCAGCTTAGGTGAGTTATTCATCTCGGCCTTATGGCGTAAGTATTTTCCTGACATCAGAAGAACATCAAATCCAGGCCCAGTGCTGAATTACCTACAGGGGAGGCCCTTCTTTCTAGACACTCTGCAGAAGGAAAACATTTCTCCTTTTCTACAATGCTGAGCTGATCAACACTCCTGAAGACATGCTAGAAACCAGACAGAGAGAACGCAGGTCTACAGAAGAATATCTCTAAGAGCTCTATCTCAAATCGTCAAATGTTGGGGTGGGGGAGGGGTGTTAATGACCTTTAGATAACCATGCATTAAACAAGCATCCTGAGGGCAGCTTGCACTTAAAGAGAAGCAATATATAAAAGAAAAGCAGCGTCAAAGGATAAACGACACCCCTCTATCAACACCACCTTCGCAGTGCAAACTCATGGATGCACTGGCATATATTATGCTTAGGAAGCGCCTGCCTCACAACTGTGTGGATGAGTGATGACACAACAGCATTAACAGATATAAACGAGCTGGCTTCTGGCATACCCTACTGAACACATGCAGTTCATTTAGTCTGAATTTTTTGCCACTCTATTTGCCTGCACATGTGGCCCTGTGACAGGAGGCATAGCCAACAGCTCTCCGGAAGGAAGCAGCTGTTTTCCCTGGGCAAGTGACTACCTTCAAGGATAGTTAAGCCATGCAGATCACCTGTTCCTCATGCCACACGTCAGATATTACAAACAGCACAATGCCAGCGCCATTTGCCCATTATCAGACTGCTAAATAGTTCCACTGTGCAGATGTTTAGCCATTGCACAGGTGTACCTGCAAAAGAGGAGAGTGCTTTTTTCCCTGCAGAGGCGAAGAAATGCCCGTCACTTACCAGCTATTCCGTACAATGTCGTAAATCCAGAAGGAATTCCGAACATTCTCTTCCCGTTTCTCTTTGTCCTTACTAAGTCCAGACAACACATGGATTTCATTCAGTTCTGGATCAATGGTAGCTCTTTGGGTGAAACCAGTCATTGGAACTGTGGATGAAAAGGAGCAGGGAGTGAGGGAGGAGAGCAAAGGACGGCGGCTGCCTGTGCAATGGCCCCGGACACGTCTATCAGAAGACAGCTGACCACTAGATGGCAGAAAAAGCACAAAATTCAAAAATCTAATCCAGATTCTTTGCTCTGGTTTAGGATCAGAAACAGCCCCCACAGCAAGAGCCTGGCAACTCAGTCGGCCCCATTATTGCTATTATTAACAACAACAACAACAAAAATTTTATTTCTATACACCCCATAGCAGAAGCTCTCCAGTTTACAAGAGGTCAGAAAAACAATACAATGCAGGACAATAGAAGGCCATAGAATCTTATGAAAGTACAAACATGCCGAAGCAAAAAAATTAAGAACTAAAGAAATAAACAAGGAAGAACAGCACAAAAACATCTGGCCCCTTTTAATATGCCAACTTTCACAGCAATGACTCTTTTGGAGATCAACTTTGCAGCATCTTGATTGCTGGAAAAGGGGGAGGGCAAAGGCCTGCTTACCCCATAGGCAGAGAAACAGTTCTGAATTCTAAATGCACTGATATTTTTATTCTGCCCTGCAGATCAAACCACTGCTTCCATAGCGCTGCCTCATCCACCAGCATGTCTGGCTCAGCCCATCTTATCTCGGTTTAGGAAGAGGAGATATGAACAAGCATTTGGTACAAGCTTGCAGCCCCTTTTCCACCTGCCTGAATATAAAGTGGATGCCTTCAATTAACCAGTTTTTCAGTTTGAACCAGAAAAGCGTGGCTACCAGTTCTGGAACAAGCCATGATCTTGACCCAATTTCAAACGGTGGTTTAAGATTCCAGCTCATTCCAAGACTGGCAACCACAGTGCCCTGGTCCAGAGCACACGGAAACCGTGGTCAGCGGGACACTCCTGTGTGGCATTCGGGCATTTTGAGCAGCACAGTGGCTGTCTGCGTGGTGAGATCAGTGCTTACCTAGGCTGACACACAGGTAACTGAACGGGAACACTGGCTCTAGAAGCGCTGACGCCACTGGTGCGCCGTCTGGTGTACTTTCCCCCAGATTTAAAGGGCATTTGGAAAGGGTGGCTGCTTTTGTGGAGGCTTCCTAGGAATGCTACAAAAGGGGCATACCGAAGCCGTCCTGGTTTGACTTTCCGATTAAGTTGTCAATTGAATACCGTGGAGGACCGCTGGAGGTTTCACATTAATTCCCATAAATCATAATCAAATAACTGGCCACTCCAGTTGTTTACTGGGCAAGTTTCGGTTCCTGTTTCCCGGGGCAACCGGCCTTTCAGCAAGCGTGTGTGGCCAGCACGTGATCTCTTGTGTACTGGTCCTGTTTTTCCCTTCTCTCCTTCAGGATCCGTTTACAGCAGGGAGGGTGACTCAGTGAAAAGTTCCTGGCACCTGGACAAGTTGTTCAGGAACAATATTGCTTGCAGATACCATCGACGCACGCGCTCGCACTTTGGAAGTGGGCGTGCAATCCTAAATTTGTATTCAGGAGGCGCCTTCCGAAAGAAGGAAAATTCAGTGTACAGCTAATTGTGCTTTATGGATATTCATAAGCAGAACACAGTGTACAAACATCCCGGTCTCGCTGGTTGCTGCTTTTCCTCCAACATCCTCCTCCCTGCCAACTAAACCATTGCACCATGACCAAGCAGTTACACACCGTGTTCAGGCCCCCGCAAAACACGAGTGGCCAGTACAAGGCTCAGGCACACAGGAGAACCTTCCCCGCAGCCCAAATCCCCTCTGCCCTTCATTTGGCTTGCATTAGCTTCCTCAGCCATACATATAGTCAAGGGTAAATGGTGATGCCTGACCCATATAGAATCCAAGGCAGAGAAAACCGGCAGTCAAGTCTACATCTGAGGCTGGCAAGCAATGCAAAGGAAGTCAGTTATGCTTCTCTTCCAGCAGAGTAAAGTCAGACTCGATGGGATACCACAAAAGCTGCAACTGGACCTCCTAAACGTTAACAGACTTAAGTAGCAGCCCAAAATTGCAAGTCAATTGAGGCTGTGGCCATCAGGAGAGCTTACCAGCCTTACCATCATTTACATGCTGAAAATCCTGCCTTCCCCTTTAAATTACGTGCCCAGGTCACGGGGAGGGGGATATTACAAGTGCCTGATAAAAGCATCATGGGGGAAAGGCTGGACATCTCTGTGCCACAGCCCTGCTCTAGATCCTAAGGTGCTTGCATTCTTGTTCCATCCTTCGCAACAATCGTGGGTGCGAAGAGGGAGATGCGTTCTCCATCTCAACCCACTTGAATCCGGGGATCCCAATTTAAGAATGTACATCCTGCTGGATCAGATCAAAACAGTCCAGTTAGTCCAGCAACCATTTCAATTAGTTTGAGCTTTGAACCCCTCCTCACAACCGGAAGTCAGAGGCATATTGGCTCTGAACACAGAAGCCTCAGTGAGAGGAAAGCCATTGCGGGATCTTTCATCTACCCAAGATCATGGCCATCAGCCCTGATCTGTAAGAGCCAAACCAGTAAGTTAAGAAAGTTGTTGTGTCTGTCCAAAACCTAACAAATTCAACAGACTCAACAAAATTTGAATTTTGGCCAGAATTTTCTGACAAACAGTTTCATTAGGTGACCTGCCAAAGTACAGGGTTACAAGGAAGGGGAAAAAAACTTGTCTGCTCCTTCCACATCATGCCTTATTTTATAATTAACCATAAGACAACATTTTATAAAACCAAGTTGTATGAAAGCTGACTGGAGGCAAAAGGAGCAGTGAAATCCAGGTGAATGCAGCTGAATTGCCTTCAGTTTTGGTCCAAAGCAAGACAGACAACATAACTCAAGAGAACATAACACCTGGCCACCTGGCTACACCATGACAGAACAGCTATTTGTTTTTTTAAAGGTCCATCGCTTCTCATTCAATTAACATTTCTGCATGGTAGAATTCCAGTTCATTCTAGAAAAATGCCTCTCCTGACTGCCATCTACCTGGATGCGATAACTGAGATCTGGGGCCTGCCTCTGACTGCCACCTCCAATGGAAGCTCAGTTGAGGGCAACAAGGAGAGGGGTCTTTCCAGTGACGGCCCCCAGGTTTGGAACATGCTCTCCCCCGAGGCCTGCCTGGTGCCAATTGTACCATCTTCGCAGCGTCAGGATATGACTGGCCTCTACCGCAGGGCATTTACTTAGTTCACTGGGGCTTTGTTAGTTTCTTAAACAGAAATTTTTACATCTGTTTTAAATTTCATTATAAATCTTGGATGACAACCATTTAATGATATTCTATAGAGTATTTCTATATGTTGTTGTAAACCACCTAGAGCGCATCAGCTATTGGGTAGCATAGAAGTTACATACATACAGTTAAATAAACTCCTTTCCTCTGAACACATTCTCTTTACAGGTCAATTGGTTTTAAGAGTTCCTATACACCACTAATAATGTTGACTTGATATTCTCTTAACAGCTTAACTGTTACTGTAAATATCCTTTCAATGAACAGACATTCTGAATGTTAAACACAAAGATGGGAAAAGCTTTGTAAGAAGAATGACAGAGGGTTAACTCTCAAGCAAGACTCGCCTGTAACAGGAGAGAAATTCAGTGGCATTACTTACAAAAGAAGCAAATGCTTAACACGCAACTTCAAAATGCACCCAGAGCTACAAATCCCTACCCCACCTGCGTGTTCAGCCAGAGGTTGTCTTCTGCTTGCCTTCGAATAGCAACACAATTTATCCTTAGGCACCCAAACTCAACAGTCCCAAATTAATCAAGCCTGGAACACGTGGCAACAAAACATTTACTTGCAGAATACATGCAGAGAGGCATTTAATAGCAAATACGCCCTGCGGGCATTCACCAGCACATACAGAGCGTGTGTACCAGTGCTGCATGTCCCCAGTGAAAGCACCAGTATGCCAATTCCATACGCAACGGCTGTGTGCATGTGATCAGGAACTGTATTATTGCTGAAGGACGCAACAGCAATAAAGAGAATCTTCCCTTTTGTTAGGATGGACAGGTGCTGACCCTGGCACGGTCCACAAGCCAGGAATAAAAGTACACCACAGGAACCAGGAAATGGCGGGGCCATCTGGTAACGGAGATGGTAGCTCCACTCACTGCCTGTTCTCAGCCCTTGTTACAGATCTAGAAGCAGGAAGGTAACAAGAAAAGGAGAGAAGCAGGACCGAACAGAAGAGTCCACTTTCGTAGAGGTTAGGAAAGTGGTACAGAGAGAAGCAAGAAGTCCATAAAACAAACACACGCTCTCCCCTCCTAGAGCAACAACTGTGCCTTTATATTGAAAAATACAGCTCTAAATTGCCCAACGTTTAGAGCCAAGTAAAAGAGGCCACGTTTATGCCAATGCTGTGCCTATGAACTCAAAGAGGCTCCTTCCACAGGATCTTAATCAGCATTCAACACCTCAAGTACCTGATTATAATAAAGCTGACAAAACTGAAGCCATAGCACCAGAGAAAGATCTCATGGGCTGAGAGAGCTTCCGATGAAATGATGCTCTGGTACTGAGGATGTTTGAAACCTCATTTCTAAAAAAAACAAAAACTGTCCATTCTACCTGTCCATTTGTCCACCTGGTTCACACACAATGTTCTTGGGCTTTGATGGAACTAAGCAAGCATAGCCAAAACCCAGGTATTTCACAAGCACAACGATAAGGTCTGCAAGATCTCGGTGCCAACCATTTGCCGTATATCCAGAAATACTCTGGTCAAGGCCATCGATGCCCTGCACTCTCAGCAATGAAAGCATTCCAGCAGCTTACAGTGAACACAGCAAGCCTCAGAAAAGGACACCAAGTCTTCCCAATAAAAGGCTGGGGCTCTTTCTAGCCAGCCACCCGCCTCTTCAGGTACGTCTGTGTCTTCCACAAGTATTAGGGTTGATCGAGAGGACACCACATTCCACTCAGGCTACAGCAAGGGGGAGGCCCAACCCTTTTCACTTGGACATTCACCTGTGCTTAAGCTCAAGCATCACTGAGAAG